GGCTGTGCTGAGAATAACCTCCCTGCTTTGTCCTTTGACTTTGGTGAGGCCCACCCAGCCAAGCTTCTCTGTGCGCTATTCTTAGCAGGTGGCATCCTTTAGGAAGGCCAAGTACATGTGGTTTCAGCATGCAAGCAGGTCCTGGTGCGGACGCTACTGCTGTCTCCCAGTTGGGAGGAAGGAGAATAAAGTCACCCTAGAAACTCTCGTGGGGTGTGTGTGGGGGGCGGTGGCTGCCTAAGAGGTCCCTGGGGCTGCCTTTTCTATTCTGGATCTGTGGCAGAGGCCCAGTCCTGCCTCCTGGGCCAGGCAGGTCCCTAATACAGGCAGCCCAGGAGCCAGGAAACGCCCTAGTTTTAGGACCTCTTGTTGCCCTAGCGGCCAATTTCTCTGGAAATCACATTATCCCATTTTCATGGGAAGTCACCCGACTCAAGAGCAGGCCTCCACACAGGTACTAAAACTTCTGTAAAACTGTGGTTCTGTTGGTAGCCTGATTACTAGCATCCTCTGGCTTAAAAACGAAAACAAAATCGAGAGGTGGTAAGAGCCATGCCCCTTACTAGGAGTTCTCACGGTGGGGGGGGACACTGAAGCTGAAGAGATATGAAGGAGTTTGATGAATTCTGCCCTCACCACCATCCTGTCTTCTCCCCCTTTTTTCTGTTCCTTCCTTCCTCTAACTTGGAGCTGCCAACTCCAGCCCATCTTTTTCTGATTAAGAAACCTTCGAGCCGTATAAGGCCCTCTGTTGCCTATGGTTTATGTTGGCTGGAGACCGAGGTTGTTTTTGCAAAGTCTGATTCAAAGAAGTAGCAAGGGTGTGTGTGTGTGTGTGTGCGCGCACACACACACGCATGCATGCATGCACATCCATTCCCATCTGCTCCCTGGGGCTGGACTGCCTTCTTGGAACAGATTCATCTGAGAGGGTGGGGGGCTAGAGTAAGGGCCTCACATTGGCTCCAAGGCTAATTGAGTGGTGTGACTGCGGGGCTTCCTGGCAAATGCATTTGCTGAGAACTCCGAGTAGAAAGTGAGCCCCTATTGGACTCACGTAGTGTGTACCTGCTGGTCTACCAGCCAGAGAAGCACCCTATTTCTGAAATAGATTCCAGAATTTGCTTCTGTTTATTAATTAAGAAACTACAGGGGCACCTGGCTGGGTCAGCTGGAAGAGCATGCAACTTGATCTCAGGGTCATGAGTTCGAGCCCCATGTTGGGTGTAGAGATTACTTAAATAAAACTTTAAAAATAAAATTTAAGGGGCACCTGGGTGGCTCAGTTGGTTAAGCGTCTGCCTTCGGCTCAGGTCATGATCCCAGAGTCCTGGGATTGAGCCCCACATCAGGCTCCTTGCTTGGCGGGGAGTCTGCTTCTCCCTCTGCCCTTTACTTCCCCTCATACTCTCTCTCAAATAAATAAATATTCTTAAAAAAATAAAATTCAAAACTGCATCACTCAAAAAATTAAAAAAAAGAAAAAAGAAACAAAACTACAGCCCCTTGTCTCTTTGGGCAAGTCCGTTCTCCTCTCTGGAGGAAGTTGGGTGAACCTGTCCCTCTGGGTTCTTGACCTTCAGCAGGGCTTCGGCTCGGTGATGGTGGGGAGCGATTTCTGTGGCAGCAGCCCTTCAGCCTCATCTTCACCTCCCCCCTTGTTGCTGTCGCTTGAGTCAGCCAAGTTTGTTCCTGCCTTAGTACTTTGGCACATGTTCTCCCTGCCTGGAACTTTCTCCCCCTCTCCTTTCCCTGGCCTCCTAGATCTTGGCACGGCTGCTCCTCAGTGTTCCAGCCCTGCTGCCACCTTTGGAGAGGCGTTCCCTGGCCATTCTGTCTGAGGCTCCCTCTCTCCCAGGTATACTTCACCAGCTCTTCTCAACCTGGGTTCCCCTCTAAACACATGACTGAGTGACTGACTCAGTGAGTACCCTTCCAGATGCACAGGAGTATAGTTAACTCGTTATGTAAAAGGGGTGCCTAGGCTCAGTTCTCTGAATACCTTTTGAGAGGCTGCAAGTTTATGCTGTTGGGTTGCTATATCTTCACAGTGTCTTCTCGGAAATGTGACTCCCTACCCCTCCCGCTCTCTCTGCTTTCTGAGGGCTCTTTCCACCACCTCAGCCCCCTCTCTGGTGGAACCTGGCTCACAGTGGGAATTAAAATCTTTATTAAATGACTAGCCCTGAGGGGTCCTGCTACCTGATGCTGGTTAGCCCTCAGTGGGGTGGGGAGCCCCAGTGCCTTGGCTTGAAAGGTTCTTACCATCAATAAGCCTCTGCTCTTTGTGATTACTACTGTTAGGTCAGCAGGGCAGTTGGGGGGCTCTGAAGCAGAATTGACTTCAGTTACTAGAAAACAAAAGCCTTACATGTTTGTACATAGATGAGTTGACACTCACTACATATTATACTGGTTAACAAGAATCCTAAAACTCTATGGTAATAGAGCATCTCTTGCTATTTAATAGTTAAGAATGTATTTTTTTTTTTAATTTATTGGAGCGAGAGAGGGAGCACAAGTAGGGGGAGCAGCAGAGGGAGAGGGAGGAAACTCCCTGCTGAGCAGGGAGCCCAATGCGGGGCTCCCTCCCAGGACCCTGGGATCATGACCTGAGGGTGAAAGCAGACGCTTAACTGATTGAGCCACCCAGGCACCCAAGAATATACTTTTTGTTCTATCAAAGCACTGCTGGTAGAAAGAGTTGATACACAAGTTATACACAGTTGTTCTTTGAAAGAACAGCCCTTTCCCCGACCAGTCCTCTCCTCTAGAGGCAGCCGCCCTCAGTTCTTCTAGGCTGTCCTCCCTGCCATTTACGTCTGTATTACTAAGTGGGATGCTTTTCCTTTGTTGCCTGCCTTTTTTTTTTTTTTTTTTTTTTTTTTTTTTTTTTTTTTTAATGTTACCTGATTTGTTTTTCTACTCTGGAAGGTAAGGACTTGGCTCATTCCTACACTTTTTTCCTCCCCTCATCTTCTTGACACGGGGAGGTAGCTAGCACAACTTCTGGTCAAGCTGCTGAGAATGTATTTTATGCTGTAAATATTGCTTATGGCCTCAAAGTTCTTGGTTTTCCATATTTCCTTCCTCGTGGCCCCCCGCCCCCCCGCCCTGTATTTCTTTCACTCCGTTGTCTGTGTCTCATGCCATCTCCAGCTCTTCACTGTGCCTCAGCAGTTACTCTCAGAGCGCCTCATTGTGCTCAGCATAGCAGGTGCTCAGCTGTTCATGCTGCTCCTGGGAAGCACCCCCCTCCCTTGCTCTGCTTCCCCTTCATCCTGGGACTCCATGCTTCCCTTCTTTGGTGTTGCTTTGTGCATGGGTGCCCCCTCCTTTCTTGGTTTACCCCCTTGTCTTGGTGGAGTCCATCTTTTAGGAGCTTGCTGAGAAAAAGCGGGGGAGGGTAAGCAGCCAACAAGAAGCAGGCTGACTTGGTCCTAACAGACAAGGACAAGTCCTTCTGAAGGCATGGGTTTGGGGTGTGGCCCAAGACTTGGTGGGAAGTCAGCAAAGACAAGGAGGCGCCCGCAAGCCTTTCACCCTGCCAGCAGAGTATCTGGTTTCACTTTATGGAATAGTTAAATGAGAGGGGTCTGGATTTGGGCATCAGGTGCCAAGGAAATGGGTATGGAACGAAAATCTGCATATCGAATGGGACAGTCCAAGCCCCCTTGGCTCTCACGGTGCTGGCATTCAGGCTAACAACCTCTCCACCCCAGGACATTAGAACATTCTAATCTGTGGAAACTGGCAGCCTGATTCCTGTTTGTCCCCCACCCCAGCCAGGATACTTGCCTGACTCTTGGACCAAAATTGTCCGTTGGTCAGTGGCAGAGGATGGTACCAACAGGCCCATTGAAGAAGGTCATTGGTTTTTTTTTGGCCCCAAAAGAAACTGTTGAGACTTGAAAGTGCCTCGAAAGGACGTTCTGTCTGTTTCATTTCTGTGTTCTGCTGTGCTTTGTACCTGTAGGTGCTCCTCAAGATTTGTTGGATAGAAATTACCTTAGGCCTTTATGTGATTTCTGAGTTGGTCGTATTCCACTCTCTGCCATTTGGAAAATCGGTGTCGCACCTGTGACTCTGTTCACCTGAGGTGGTGGCGTGAAGGGCTGCTTGCCTCACACCATCCTTTCTGATTCCTTCTGAAGGAGTGTGTCGTCTTCATTAGCTTTTTGGGGATGCTTGTTGTCAGAGCACAACTTCCTATCTTTGGGGCAGTCTTGGGTAGTCTTCTGTGGTCATGGGCGGGAACACTGTGTACCTAGGAACACTTCCTTGGTACCTGCTTTATCACTGTCCTCAGAAATCCGTCGGAATTTACTGGTAAAGCGGTCTGGTTGCCACGCACTGGGGCAAGGGACAGGATGGAGGTGACATCGTTGTTTAAAGTTTTTGAAAACCACAGAAACTTTGAAAACCACATTCCTACCCGCCAGACGAAACAATGGGAAGACCTTTGTAGAAAATACTGACACACACCCCCCCCGCCTTTTTTTTTTTTAATCATTTGAAACCTAATGAGACTGGATCTGCCAGATATTTGGTCAGCAGAGCAAGGGAGTCTGGGCATGTCACCTTTGTATGGAGTTTTTACCAAGTTTTCCAAACTGGGAGTTAGTTTAAACATCTCTTAACTTGGGACCATGTCCAGAGAGGGGATTTTTTGCTTCTGGCTCTTCTTACCTGGAGCTCCTGGGATTGGGCTCTGGGTCTCCATTTTGGCTGGAGAAGGCTTCACTGAGCAAGTGCTCCCACCCAGACGGTACCGGCACCCAGACGGTACTGGGTTAAGCCTCCAGCTTCCTGGAGAGCAGCCCAGGAAGTGGTCTGTGACTTTCGGACAGCTGATCTGCTGAGAACAGGGAGTGGGGCTGAGAAGAGCTCACCTGGCTGCTCTGTGGGGCCATCACAATGAAGGGTGTGGAGGACAGTATGGGGCAGGACCTCACAGCCCCACTGTGAGCTAATTTGGAATCTTTAGGGTGCCAGCCAGCGTGAGTCACAGCCCACACAGGCCCCCTACAGATGAAGGTAACAACTGTTTGACCATCAGGGCTGGGCTGAGACCTACATCCCTGAGGCATGGCTCCAGCACTCTGATTCCTGGGCCCCAGCCATGCTGCTGAGGGCGAGTGGCCCAGCTTACCATCGTCCTCCACCCTCAGGGGCAGCACCAGACACCACCCAACAAGGTAGGCCCTGGCTGTCACAGCATTTACCCAGCTCTTGTGTTTGTTTCCGGTCTGCTCGGAACACCCTCTAGGACTTCGCTGTCTTTGAATGTGGCTATTTAAATTTAAATTAATATTAAATAAAAAGTTACACGGGTCACATTTCAAGTGAGTAAGTAGCCGCCAATATTGGACTCTAGTTGCCACTTGGAGATCACCCGGGCCTTTGCCTCTTGTGACCTGCTCTGCTTTGGCCGTGTTTCAACTGCTGCCACTTGCCCCCATTGCCTTGACAGTAAAGGTCACACTCCTTTTGTCTGGCCCCCTACCAGCTTTTCAGCCTCGGCTCCCAGGACTTGTCCTGCTCTGCTCTGCTCTGGGACTTGCCGCTCCCTTCTACCCCCGAAGGCAGCTTGGGTTTAGAACCTTAATTTATGTCATTAACCCACGCTTTCAACCTGAGCAAATTCTGGCTGCCTCTGGGACAGGCTTCTTTGGGTTCTGTTTGCCTGCTTCTGAAATTGGGCTCAGCTTGGTGCAGGTGTGTGTGTGAGAGAGCAAGACATACACAGATTCTTCAGTATGCGTTATGAGCTTCTGGTGGACAGAATCTTTTTTTCTTGCAGCATCTTAAACATATTTATGTGTAAATTATTACATGAGTGAATGTATGTGTGTACCTCAACCTGATGAGAAACCAGGTAAACGCATCCTCTGGAAACCAGGAGGCTCTCTTGTGGTCTTGCACAGACCTCTGTGTATGTGGTCTTCCTCCAGCGGACTGGTGGGGGTGGAATGGGAGGGGGACCTTGGCCTGGCCCACAGCCTGCTGCTGTTCCTGAATGCAGTGGCAGCAAGTGCTAAACGTTCTGCATCATGTAGCTGTTTCCTCTCCTTTGAAGACCCCCCTGCAAGGGGAAAAGCCCCTCAGCAACAACTTGACGGGCTGGGCATTCTGGAGATGGGAGTATCTTGAACACCTGGGGATAGTCTTTGGTAATGTGAACACATAACCGTGGAATAATGGAAATAATCAAATTTCCACTTGAAGGGGGGGTGTATAAAAGTCCATTCAGAATGCTGAGTCAATGTGACTTCATTGACCAGGCCCAAGTCCACAGTGGACTTGATAGCCACTTCGCTCCTAAGTGCTTGTTGTTATGATCAACTTTCCCATCAATTAATTATATGCAGCTCTTTTTTTCCCCACAATAACTGCAGCCAAATGGGCTTAGTCACTGGGACCAACACTGTTTGTACTGTTCCCAGAAATTTGTTTTCTTGTTTAGCAGAAGGCTCTAGACTGCAGTAACTGGGTTCGTCATTGGTGCTGGGAGTGAGGCCATTCTCCAGAGGTAAGCTTTTCTGAGAAGCCTCAGGTTCCTCTGGGAGAAAGGAGAGGAATCCTTTTAGAACCTGGACAGAGCAGGTGAACCTAAGGCTTTGTGGGGCCGCGGCACGTGCCTGCCTTCCGCTCTCTGTGACCACTGGACAGCCAGCCAGCCTGCGTCTATTCCTGGGCAAATGGGCCTGCTAAAAATAAGCAGGCAGCTATTCCAGCAGATTCAAAATAGCCACGTCTCCTCCCCACCAACCCTCAGGCAGGGCTCTGCATCCTTCTGCAGGGCTTTTCTCTGGCTTGCCTGAGTGTCTGGGGCCTCGGGAGGGGGAGGTCCTGGGGGAAGTGGCTGCCTTCAATTAGCTTGTGAGTGTGAAGGCTTTTAGACCAACAGTGTTAAATGCCACTTATATCTTGAAGTTCAGGTTTTTTACAGGAAACAACAACCTAAAAACCAGGGCAAAGAGAGTAACTCGAGAGTCTGTTCCCAGAGAAGGAAGGTGGGCATGTGGGCCTATGTGTGGATGCACAGGTGAAGGCCGCCCTGTCTGAGGATTCAGGAAAGGTTGGGGCCTCTTAGAGCACCTGTCTAGGCCTATCAGACAATGTAAAGCAGGGAAAATGGCACCCTCCTGATTCACAAGAAGTCTGTTTGAGATGAGATTGGCTCTGGTAAGACCCTTGGAAGTGAAGGGCTGAGGAAGTGAGGGACTTCTCATGACTGGGGGGATGTGGGGGCTTAAGTCACCTGGTGCTCCCTGAGCAGTGCTTCCAGGCAGCGGTGCCTTCACTGAGACCCCCCGAGGCTCCTTTGGATGGGGCAGCTGCTGACCCTATGGGCTCTTGGCTCTTGGCTCTGTTCTTGGTGGCGATGGCTAATATCTCTAATCACAGCCCCCAGGTAGCAAGGAAAAAAACAAAGCACCCCCTCTGCTGTCCGGGGATCTCATACCTCTTCTCTCAATTTGTGGGAGCACTTGAGTCAGGCAGTTCCTGCCCCCAGAGGTCCCCATGGCGGAAAGGGCTTTCCCGGGAGGAGCAGGGGTCCTTCTCCTGACTCTGCAGCTCTAGTCTGAGCGCGGAGTGGTGGGCACTGGGGGTCCGGGGGGGCATTCAGTATTCCCTGGGTTGGGTGATGCCATGTCAGGGTACCCATGTTAAATACTTTCGCAGGGGTCCTCGTGCCACAACAGCAGGAGGCATCTGCCTTGGAAATGGTGCCGAAACTGTTTCCTGAGCTGTAATTAGCCACGTAGCTACAGCTGATGATTGTCTTTAGAGGGCTGTGGAGGGTGGGTTTGGGGGCTCAGAGCCTCCATCCCTGGGGAACAAGTGGGCAGGGGTGGGGAGGGTTAGGCGGGGGGTAGAGGTATCCTGACAAGCTGCAGAGCAGTGTTGTGGCCCCAGGTGACTGGTCCTGTGCTCGGTGTGAACTAGGTCCGGGAGAAGAAGGGACAAAGTGGGGGGGCTGGGGGACAGTGACGGGGGGGGGGGCAGGGTGTGGGTTGTAGTGTGGATCCACTAGGGTACAGGACCAAAGCCAGGCTGGGAGGGTATGCTTGAGTGTGGGCCTCTGCCTTACAGCCGGTTCCTGGAATCTCCAGAGGTGAAACGGGGGTCAGCTGCTGGACCCTTAGGATCAACTTCTAGTACCAAGGGGGTGAGAGGCAGTTTGTATCTTGGGTAGCAGCTCCCTCCTTACACATCTCAATTTGAGTTTGGCCTTGGGCTCTTGGTGTGTAAAACAGGAGACTGCCCTCTATGGGTCGTTAAGCCCTAGGAGTCTTTATCTTCCTCTACCCCATCGCATGGAATCTTGTTCCTGAGATCAGAGAATTGCTGGAAGACCATGGGAATCATAACTATAAACCCTGCTGAAATGAGATTGTCTAGTTAGTAGGGAATCAGAATCTAAATTGGCAAGAGGAGAACCCAGGTTGAGATGCAGCCACACTTACTGTTGCAGGTCACCTGTTGGGTGGGACTGATCTGACTGTAGGCCATGTCACAGGCATACTGCCTTATCCTGAGAGCACCCTTTCCCCAAAGCCTCTGTTCCTTTCAGATTTTATTTTTATGCGGAAGACATTGAATACAAAGCAAAGACCCTAATGTAATCTACCACTTCTTGGGGTTTGTGCACATTGTTCTGGGAGAGTGATTCTCCAACTTGAGTGTACATTGGCATCACCTGGGTTGGGGCACCTGGCTGGCTCAGTCAGTGGAACGTGTGACTCTTGGTCTTGGGTTGTGAGTTCGAGCCCAATGTTGGGTATAGAGATTACTTAAAAAATAGAAAAATCTTAAACAACTCCCCCCGCCCCCAACCAAACAAACCAAAAAACCTGGTACCTTGGTCTCGCCCTCAGAGATTATGATTTAATTGATTTGGGTGCCACCTTGGCCTTGGGATTTTAAAAGCTTCCCAAGTGATGCTATGTGCCACTAAGTTGGAGAACCACTGAGAGAGAAGTTTAAATCTCCCCAAAAGGAAGAGATTTTTATCTTATATTAGCAGATAAGAAAAAAAAAACTGGAAGTAATAAATGAGGTCGGTAAGGTTGTAGGATACAGGATCAATGTGCAAAACTGTCCTCCTCTCCCACAGCTGAAAGGCTTGGCATGTATCCCTCCTGGTTTTTCAGTAGGATTATGTGGACATAGACATTCTATGTATGGTGGTCTACAGCTTTTATTTTCTGTGTCACGGCAATTTTTCCATGTCTGTACGTGAGATCAGCCTACTTCTCTATCACTTATGTGGAATGGAACCCGAGTTCGGGTCCTTGGCTGTATGACCTTGAGCTTTTTTTTTTTCTTTTTTAAGTATTTAAGTAATATCTACACCCAACTTGGGGCTCAAACTCGTGACCCCAAGATCAAGAGTCGCATGCGCCACTGACTGAGCCAGCCAGGTGCTCTGATCTTGAGGTTTTTTTGTTTTGTTTTAATTTAAGCAGACTTCATGCCCAACATGGAGCCCAGCTCAGGGCTTGAGCTCAGGACCCTGAGATCGAGACCTGAGCTGAGATTAAGTGGAATGCTTAACTGACTGAGCCACCAGGCACCCTGCCGACCTTGAGCTATTTTAACCTTGATGATGGCAATACATTCCAGACCAGGTGGTTGAGGATTAAGTGATACAAGGGAAAGCATCTAGTGAGGTTCTGTGTTTGAATTTAAAGTTGTGAGGAGTGTCATCAAACTTTTTGCCTAGAGGGATTGATAGGATCTTCTGAGCCTGGCCACTGCTTAGCTCTGCTTGATATTTTCCAGTGCCACGGATTCACTTTCAGATATTAGGAAGAAGGTTTATAGCTTTCCCCACCCCCTCACTTTGGGGCAGAACATGTTTCCCAGTGTTCTTCACTAACTCTAATGTGTTTGTGAATCCCCTGGGGGTCTTTTTAAAATGCAGCTTGTGATTTAGTAGGTCTGGGATGGGGCTGTATTTCTAGCAGGTTCCCAGGTGATGCTCAGTGCTTCTGGACCGTAGACCGCCCTCTGAGAAGCAGAGTCCTAGAGCATTGGTTCCCAGTGGAAGCATAAATCCAAATTAAGCATAATAAAGCACAAACCCAGATTAAGGTATAATTCACCATATCAGTGGAGGATTTTTGGTTTTAAGAAGGCTTGTGATTTTTGCAGACAGAATAAAATTTACTGGCATGGGAGGTACTGAATTATAAGCATTCTAAAATAAGTCTGTCACAGACCTCTAAAGAGAGCTAACCCAGCTTTGCATAGCACTTAATACATATCTCAACTAATCCTCGTACCAACCATGCTTTATGAGCTGTGTCCCCAGCTTAGGAGGAAGAAAACTGAGGTTCTTATCTCCTTTACGTGTCTGCTGCCTGCTCCTGGCCCTTTAGTGTGTCTCCTGGCCCGGATCCAATTGACTTAGGTGTCCAGGTTCCTGTCGATTGATAATGCTGTCCCTCCTGCTCTCAGGATCACTTGGGAACACAGTTTGGTGCGTGGGCCTCGCAGACCTCCGCTGGCTCTCTGCTGCCTACAGGATAAAGTCCAGACTCCACAGGGAGGCCCCAGAACCCTCACTGAGTCCACTGAGCAACTTGATTCTGAAAGCATGACCAGTTCCTTGCCACTGTATGTTTTGCTGGTCCCTCAGCTTGGAGCCTCCCCCTCATCCTTTTGAATTCTTACTCCTCCTTTGTTCCAGTGCTTTCTTGCCGCATAACTGTTTGATTGACTTACGGTTTTGTGGGTAATGTGAGGGACATACATACGTGTGGTTTCACGGGTCTTTAAATATACTCCAATGTCGGGGTGCCTGGGTGGTTCAGTCGGTTAAGCGTCTGACTTGATTTTGGCTCAGGTCGTGAACTCTCAGGGTTGTGCAATTGAGCCCCACGTTGGGCTCCGCACTCAGCGGGGAGTCTGAGATTCTCTCTCTCTCTCCCTCTCCCCTGCGCACTCTCGCTCTTAAAAACAAACAAAAAACTCCAATGTCACCTGAATAAGATAAGTGTTCTGGGAGTTTAGAGAACTAAAACGCTAAACACACTATCCCCTTGGGGCAGCATGGAATTTGGCATTGAGAAGTGATGAAGGAAGGGATTTGGGTCCAAGAGAAGGCTCATCTTATTTCAAGGGACTGTGCACGGATGAGGGAGCAAAAGGGGGCTTGTCTCCCTGCCCACCTGCCTCCAGTGGGTCACGCTCTGGGGACGAGCAAGGGGAGGGGTGCCCCTTCGAGGGGCAGGGAAGGGGAGAGAGAGCAGCTGGTTGTCTTTCTTGTGCAGTGTCATCAGGGTCCCCCTACTTGGCTCTCATAGCATCCCTCTCTCTCCTCCTCTCCAGGTGTAATTTCTTTAGGCCTCCAGGATGGCCATCCAATTCCGTTCACTTTTCCCCTTGGCATTGCCTGGAATGCTAGCAGTCCTTGGCTGGTGGTGGTTTTTCTCTCGTAAAAGGCATGTCAGCAGCCAGGACAGACAGGTGGAGGCCAGCGCTATGGAGCTGAGGGCTGGCTGTACCATCAGAGAGCCACGCCCCAGGGAGAACCTCTGTCCTGGAGTAGTGTCCACGCCCCCCAACGTCAGACTGCTGGCGGAAAAGGAGCCGTCTACCGTGAGCAAGCCTCCCGCAGAGCCCCCAGCCTTGCTGCGGCCACATCCAACCTGTCGCAGGTCCGAGTCCTCAGGCAGCCTTCCTAACACCACGGACACGAGATTTCGACCAGGAACACGCAGAGATGACAGTGCAAAGGTGGAACTAGCCCTAACGGGTGATGAAGCTGGGTCCGTTCCTCCAGAGTGTCCCCTCCCAACCCCAAAGAGTGTTCCTTTTGCCCACGAAGTGGCCGAGGTGTGCAAGCGAGAGTCCCCGTTCAGTGCGACGGGAGGGGGGGGCTGGCAGGGCCAGGCTGCGGCCCCCCAAGAGAAGCCGAGAGAGACGGGGGGGACCGAAGGCACCGGTGACGCAGCGTCAGGAGAAGGCGTGCTGGAAGAGGGTGTGCAGTCCCCGGAGCCCGACTCTGAATCGGACAGCAGCAAGGCGCCCAGCCCCGCTCCCTCGGGAGCAGTGGGGGAGAGCGGGAAGGTCAGCCCACCGCAGACGGAGGAGGAGGAGGAGGCAGTGGGGAAGCTGCTGAGCAGCCTCATCGAATCGGCTCACACGGAGCTGATGGAGGATGACGAGCTGCTGGTGCCACGGGTCAGCGGCGGAGCCTGCCACGCAGATGGCACAGGGGGGCCAGGCAAAGAGACAGTGGAGCAAAATGAGAAGATCGAGCAGGCTGCCTACCAGATCATCTCCAGAGTGATCTTGGAGGCAACTGAAGAGGTGCTGGCCACCACCGTGGGCAGGATTGCAGATCGGGTGTATCAGGCTTCAGCTGGTCAGCTCCAAGGGCAGGAGGAGAGCTGTGTGCCGGTCTGCCAGAAATCTGCCCCGGGGCAAGATGCTGAGGAGCCTGCTCCAGCCACCAAGGAGGCAGAGGCAGCCTCCGCCGCAGATGCCACACTCCCCTTGCCACACCTGCCCGCAGAGGACCTGCCACCACCAAAGACCTATAGGAGCTGCCTGAGCAGCCCTCTGTCCAGCCCCACCAAGGACAGGAAGCCAAAGAACTCCGCACACCACATCTCCCTGGCGCCTTGCCCACCTCCAGCCGTCCCCCAGGGAGAGTCGCTAGATGAAGCCCGAGTCCTGGTGGAAAATGCCGGATGCATCCCCTGCACTTCTGACACCAGCCAGGAGGCCCCTTCAGTGGCCTCTGAGCAGTGCTCAGATTCCATCAGCACTTCGGGGCTTGAAGACTCGTGTGTAGACACCAACTCAAGCCCCAGGAGCAAGGCCATCTCCCCGCCACCGCTGCTAGAAAGTACTGTACCCTTCAGCAATGGGGTGCTGAAGGGGGAGCTATCAGACTTGGGGAATGAGGACAGATGGACCGTGGATGCAGAAGCAGATCATTCGGGAGGTAGGAGGGTCTTGGATGCTCCTCGCTTAGAGGACGGGGTGGGGGTTCTCCCTTTGTCCTGTAGGCGAAGGCTGCTGGTCTGCCTCTCCCTCTGCTGCTCCTGCAGTAGTAATGATCTTCAGCTCTGAGTCCCAGCTGGCCTGCAGAAAGTCGGGGCCCAGTGGAGCCTGGCTCTCCCGAACCCCCCAAAGCCGCGGGGGCTGTAACTTGGTTCGGCAGCCGAGGGCCCTCCCCAGTCTTCCCGAAGGAGCCAGCTCCATGGTGGGTTTGGTGATTAACCTCCATATGCCTCTTTGCCTCTCTTAAACCTAACCTCTTAAAGGTGTTTGTAACGGAGAGGCCTCCTTAGCTTTAATTCCCAAGTCCCAAGAATGGGTGTGAACTTTTTTTTTTTTTCCCAATGGTTTATTTCCTTTTAATCATGTGCTTGTTCCCATGTCTTCACCTGCCTTCCTCCTCCAGAAGCTCTTACCGGGTAAGTGCCCAGAGAGCGGCCACAGCCTTGACACTTGAGGGAGGCTCTCGCTCTCCTGCCTTGTCGCCACTATTCCTCCGCAGAGAGCCTCCGCCATTTACTTTCTATGCAGCTGCAGTTCCGTCCCCAGGAAAGAGGGGCACTTTGGTCACGAAGTGTCCACTGGGGGTTTCGAGTGCTGACCCCAGCATAGACAGTTCAGACCGCTCGCATACAGGTCAGCAGCTCCTGACCCTGGTTTCGCAGCCACCCTGGGGTACTTTCAGTTATCTCCTGCAAAGAGGCCGTGAATTCCCCGTGGGGGTCTCTGACTTGCTTGTCCTGGAGCCAGAACCTACTGTCTCCACTCCAGGAAGGTTGGGAGTCTTTAGTGGGAGTTTCACTGCTTCCAGCTGCATCTGGTGTGTATCCCACACCAGTTTTGTCACCTCTAAGATGGCTGTTGAATTAAGACACCACTGATTTCTGTACCTCTAAATGAAAGAAAACTCACCATTGTGATCATGATCATAGAAGGCCAGAGACTATAAGATGTATCCAAATTTCGGGGATGTTAGAATGTTTTTGTTTTTGTTTTTTTTTTTTAAAGATCTTAAAATGGGTAGACAAAAATTTTTCTAAGAATGAAGGAGTTTCCCTTTATCCGCTGGCCCTCAGCTGAATTAAGCCCATCAGCCATGTTGTGCCACCTGTAGATGGATCGTGGCAGCTACGCAGGTGTGGCGAAGGCCTGGCGTTGAGGCCTCACGGGAGAGCAGGCTGATGGTCGGGATGTATAGGGACAACAGATGGGAGGCTGGCGGTACCATCCCCTCAGCACTCCGGCATGCAGAGCACAGGCTCCTGCCTCCCTGGCATCTGCACCTGAGTGTGCACAGCCCTGCCTGTGCCTGAGGAAGTTGAAACCAGGGGGGGCCCGGGGACCACCAGCTGAGGAAGCTGGCTGTGAGGGCGGCCTGCTAGAGTCCCGCGTCGTCTGAGCCACCTCTGGGTGTCCCTGGGGTGACCCATATCGGCCAGTCCTGTACTGTCCAGAAGAGGCTGGGGCCCCTGATGTTGAGGGACAAGGTTACTTTGAAGGTGACTTGTCCTTAGCTGGGGGCGGAATCTGCATCCAGACAGTACATGCATTGCTTGGCAAAGGATTATGTCCAGGGTTTGGAGAAACCATGTGGATAATAACCTAATTAGTAGAATCTCAGGAGCAATCTATTTCTGGCAGTTAAGTCGTCCATATTTAAGCTAGAATCCTTCCTCATGAGCTGGTCTGGACCCGTGTTTTTCTGGGATAGCCCCTCCGGCACACTCTTGAGTGGGAGTGGAGCAGACCACATCGATGCCAGGGTCCTGCTTCCTGCTCTGTCTGGGGCATGAACTTCAGCCCAGTCTTTTGATCAGGGGGTAAAGACCCACCATGAGCCCAGAAGAGCATTCAGAGTTGCACAAGTCAGTCCTAAGCAGAGAGAGAGGGGGCCTCCTTCATCTACTTCCAGTAGGGCCCTGGGGCAGGATAAGAATGGGGCCGTCGGATGGGCCAGCAAGGGAGGACTCTTCTAGCTCTGCTTGACTGAAGTTCACCGTCCATGAGCCAGGGTCGGGGGCTGTGGGGGACTAGAGTCCCTTGGTCTTGAGGGGCTGGTGCAGTTGGAAGGGCGTGGGCCCGTTGTGACTGGTCGGTCTCTGTGGAGGCCAGCCCTGATAGCTGGCTGTGGGGACCATTGGGCCTGTTGGCCTGCTCACCCACCCTGTGGACCCCCCCTTCCCAGCTCACCACTTGTCTCTGCTCCAGCAGCTGTGGCTGGGCGTGGCCGCCAGTTCCAGCAAGTGGGGCTGTGAGTGACAGGCTAAAATTAGGTGTATCTACACCCCCAGGCCTCCTTTCATTGGGGTTGTTCTAAGCCTTCTAGATTTCGGGTTGACAGTCACCTGCCAAGCTTGAGGAGGGGGTGTGGGGCGGGGGCCTCCTGGGATTATGGATTTGGAAGTGCTGCGTTTTTGACTGCTCTTGGCTGGTGTCTGGGCGTCTGTGCATGCTGCTTCCTCCCCTGCAGGCTCGGACGGGAACAGCATGGACTCAGTGGATGGCTGCTGTGGCCCCAGGAAGACTGACAGTTTCCAGAACGCCCAAGCAGGCTCCAGTCCTAAGAAGGTGGACCTCATCATCTGGGAGATTGGGGTGCCCAAGGTAAGGGCTGCGAGTCCCACGTCCCCTCGGACCCGCGGTCGTCGGGCTTGGCGGGGAGGGGCAGTGAACCCGAAGCAGCCCCTGAGCAGGCCGGAGGCTGGAGGGCAAGGGAGGGCTGCACTCTGCCAGGGCCCAGAGAGCTTCCTGCGACGTGGAGCTCCCACAGCTGCCTTCAGGGGGGCCTTGTTCTCGTCTCCTTGAAACTCACAGGCTACTCACTCTCCCCCTGGGGCTTCCCTGTGTGTGCTGGAGCTCCCCTCTATTTGGAGATGCTCACAAAAACCAAACGGAGGACGTGGGCCAGGCGGGAGTCCCTTCGCTGTGCTCTGCTCTAAAGCTCCACAGCGCAAAGTATATTTGATAATTGAGCACAGCAAAAATCCATATTTCAGAGAGCTTGAGAAGTATAGACATGTATGAAGAAAATAACAAGCTGCTCTAATCTCACCCCCGGGAGTGACTGTGAAGACGGGTGTTTTCTTCTCGTCTTGCACCCTGTGGTTTTTAAACAAAACTGAGATGATGTTGCTTTAATTAATGCTTTTAAATATTTAACAATTTAATTTTCCTGTGTTATGCTTTGAAAATATAATTTTAACTGCATTATTCATTGTGTGAATGTCAGTTTACTTCACCAGTCTTCCAATCCAGGGTACCGAAGTGGTTTCGAGCTTCTTGCTGTTCTGACTTAACAATTTTATTAGCTTGATCTTGATGTTTATTGCTGGGGCTCAGAAATAATTGGCTAGCTGAATTCTCCTGGGCACCTAGCTCCCTCCCGCGGTGGAAACTTGGCTTCGTTTGAACTCTGGGTCAGGTGGGCTGCTTTGACCCCGGGGTGCTGGTTCCCTTGGTGTTTTCTCCCCCCGTGACCCCGAGAGCCATTGTACCCTCTTTTCCAGTGGTTGCAAAGGGCACGGGCAGGCAGCTTCCGGGCAGGGCCACTCCCAGGCGCCTCATGCTTTGTCACTGCCTGCAGAGGTCTGTGCTGAGGCCTTATCGTTCATTCTTAGCTCTTACTGTTCTTTCTGAGCTGAAATGCTGCATTTAGTTTTTAACCAAATCATTTGTCCAATCCTGGCTTTTGTATTCTTCCCTCCTACCCTTCCTAAACAAGATTTTAAAGATATGTGCTTGTTCATTGTAATTTTGAAAGATCCTTTTTATCCTTTTGAAATTCAGTCCTAAGAACTGGTGCTTGCCCCCCCCCCCCCCCCCAGGAATGTTTAATAGAAAGGCAGTCCTGTCTGAAGGGCACCTCCTACCTAAGGGAGATTGGTACTTGCAGACTGGAATACTGGCACCACTGGGGATGAATCAATGGGAGATAGTCCTCAGTATATTCCTACCTCCCTTAACCAAGCCCTGTATCCTCTCCTCTCTCCCAAGTATATTTAACTAGCACCGTAAGTTTCCTATTAGCAAAGTGAGAGAGAAGACTTTTTCCTTTTTTGCACTTATCACTGCTGTCTAAATCCTACTTCTTCCCAAAGCCAGAACTGGACGAGTAAAGGAGTAAGAACCGTTGCCTGAAGGTCCTTCCTTCTCAGCTCCAATGTGTGTTCAATCCCAACATCGAATGTGTAACACTGGTCTTCAGTCGGTACTGTACACTCAGGCTTCCTCTGTTTTAACTGATGAATAGTATTTTCAAGGCCCTCAGCATATTTGTATAGTTGCTTACCTGATATAAATGCAATATTAATGCCTTTAAAGTATGAATCTATGCCAAAGATCACCTTTTGTTTTATGAACGATTACTTAGAGGAAATAAGAAAAACCACGTTTGCTCTCCATGTTCTTCCAGTGCTTTGGCACTGGTTTACACTTTGTGCCGATGTGCTTTTCTCTAATATCAGTGCTCAAGACACAGTGAGGCAAATTAAAAAAAAAACAAAAATAAAAAACCCCTGAAGACTGATTAGAGACATCACCACTAAAAAACTACATTTCTAAGCTAGGATTTGTTATATGCAAATATTTTCTGCCTCTTCTTTTGTTCTGTTTAAAACAATAAAGTGCATTTGTATTAAAAAAAAAAAAAGCTCTGCAGCTCTGGGTGCAGTGCGACGGTGTCCCTGGGGGCTCTGCTGGGGTGGGGTCATTTGGGATTGTCTCAGAGCCTGTCTTACTTACATCATGGCTAAGTTGGGCTTCTTCTGTCTGCCTTGAGCTCTTGGCACGCCGGGCACTTCTGCAGGCCTCATGCTCCAGAGGCTCTGGGCCACTGTCAATTGGCAGCAGAAGCGCAAGGGTTCTTTCTTTGACTTTTGTTTTCGAATGGAGCCTCTTTATCTTCGAACCCGGATAGACTTGAGGAGGTGGAGGAGTTGTAAATCGACCTTTGTGCTGGTGAAACCTCTCCTAGTATAGATTTGGGAGGAGAAGATTCTGGCTTTGCAGCTTTCTGGATGTGGGCCACATTGTCGGGGAAGAAACGGGAACTGCTGAGAATGGGAGCCAGACTGTAGTTCAGCCACTTAGTAGCTGTGTGATGTTGGGTGAGTTACTTAGCCCCTTTGAGCTTGTTAACTTCATCTGTAAAATGTTGATAAAAGTATCTGTTTCAGAGCTAAGCGCTCAGAACAGTGGCAGATGACTGCTGGCATGTTTACAGTTAATGGTATGTTTGAGCTTGACCTTGTGTAAAACAAAGGTAGGTCTTTGGGAACATAGGGAATTGGTTTCCTATTAACACCCCCAGTTGTCTCTTTCTCTCTCAGCACTTAGTTGGTCGGCTAATTGGCAAGCAGGGGCGGTATGTGAGTTTTCTGAAGCAAACATCTGGTGCCAAGATCTACATCTCAACCCTGCCTTACACCCAGAACATCCAGATCTGCCACATAGAAGGTCAGTGGCAGCTGCTGGCTTGGGTTTCATTGTCTTCCCTGAAATGTAAAGCATTTAAGTCCCAATTATTCCCCTTTTGGAATCTTAAGTCTCCGAATAGAAAACCCTGCTCATCCCAGGTGAAGGGAACGTGGTGCGGCGGGGGAGAAGGGCGTCTTCCTTTAGCTCTCCTCTCCTGTTCAGCCACCTGAAGGAGCCTCGGCTCCCTCCCCCAGATCTTCTGGCCAGGAGAGGCATGGGCACTCATATGGGCAGGTTGGGGGGCCTGGGTTTAGGGGGCCTGCTGCCTCATGTGGCTTCCTTGCAGAGCAGAACGTGATTGCCCTCTGGTCGGTGAGGGCTGGGCCTTTCCCTTCTGCTAGCCTCCTCTTGCATTCAAAGCATGGGCACAACGGCAGAGGTACCACTGGAAAGGTCAGTGGGTTTTAAGCCTCTTTAGATGCTTTTCTTCTTAAGGCGAAACAGCTTTTTGGCTCCGGAAAGATACACATGAACTCTAGGAAAACTCTTGTGGAGTGGGGCATGTGCGGGAGTTTGGTTTTGAAGTTTGTCGTACCCACTGTGACTCTCCTGCCTCTATCCCCCGTTTAGGTTCTCAGCATCATGTAGACAAAGCACTGAACTTGATTGGGAAGAAGTTCAAAGAACTGAACCTCACCAATATCTACGCTCCCCCCCTGCCGTCACTGGCACTGCCTTCTCTTCCAATGACTTCCTGGGTGAGCATGCGCCTGGCAGACCAGACCAGACGTTCTTGTCTCCCTTTCACTCCAATCTGCCCCAAATAAGAAACTCCCAAGACTGTGGGCCCAGAAGGGCAAGAGCTTGTTGATGCCTGTGACCTCTCACCTCTGGCCTCCTCTGGTCAGTTTGGTTCTGCTTCTAGCCTGCATTCTCTGCGGCTGGGCTCTGGGGCTGAGGTGCTAGTACAAAGCCAGACGTGCCTCTGTCCCCACTTGGAAGGACCATTCTCCTCGGGCTCTGACACCCAGGCACCTTTTGTGTTTTCAAGGCATTTGCCTAGAAAGGATTATAGTCTATCCAGGAGACTGGGTGCACCCAGACTGGCTTGGTGATGTGTCCAGAGTCCCAGGCTAACACCTCTGAGGCCTGGATGGGACCCACCTTTGTGGGCCTGGATGGGCTTGGAGTGGGTCCTTGTGTTCCTTACTCCTAGTTGAGCCAGGTCTAGTGGAGGCCCTGGTGAAGGGTTCCCTTCCCCTTCCCCTTCCCTCTCACGGGAGGTACCTAGATGATAAAGGAGCAGAAATTCTCCCCACTTGACCCTGGGATCCAGGTGGCTCTTTGGAGGTTGCTCCTGGAGTTTGGCAGGAGGGGAAGCTGACATCTTGGGGCCTCTGTGTGCTGGGGTCTCTAGGGTCTCTGGGGCCTATCGCTCAAGATCCTGCAGCATGCCTCCTGCTCTATTTGAGCCTTCTGTCCCTGGTAGGAGAATTGTAGGGTTCTGTAGGCCAGAGATGATGACGGCACTTCACATGTGGGCTGAATGTGCTGCTTTAGGAAAATTGTCTCCCTGGTGTTGGTTTGGGAGGGTTGACTTCTTGGTTCTAAATCTTGCCGCCTCCGAAGATGCTTGTGCCATGGGGGGAGGGATGGGTGTCCAGTTACTGTCCTGTGGATATTGGGGAGCGGGCTGAACCCGACTCCATGCTTTACTTCTGAACGCTAGCATTTTTTTCCCCAGCAGGCTTGGACCAGACCCACTCTTTAATTGTAAATAATTGAGCGGCTGGGATGGCTTCCTTCCCTTGTTCTCTGTGTGGCTTGGTGGAACTGGAGAGGAGATCCCAGGTGCCTTTCAACCAGCTGCACTGGGAGGAGGTGGGGAGGTCAGGACTCTTAGCCAGAGGCCCAGCCACCTGACTGGAAGGTGGCCTCAACATCTTCCTGTGTCCAGGGCACCTAGATGTTGCCTGTAACTTGGCATCAGGAGAACTAGTGTCTAGGGACAAGTCATTTTGTGAACAGTCTTGGCCTCTGCTAGGGCCTTTAATGTTGGGCCTGGCCACTGAGCAAACCTACATTCCAAATCCCAGAGCGGGGATGAGTTGGGAGGAGGTCTGTGGAGTGCAGAGAGGAGGAGACAGGATGACTCAGACTGTTGCATTCTTGCTGGCAGGAAAGCAGAGTAGAGGGACCCTGCCGGACTTAGAGCTCCTGGGGTCAGCTGCAGGGCCCAGGTTGCTGGCTGACAGGCCTGGGGCCTGCCCACCTCTTAGTCTCTGGTGGCTTGTTCTCTGTGGCCCCTCGTTCCCTTGCTTCGAGAGAGGCTCCTGCCCAGGCCCTACATGGTATGTACAGCTGGCTCCTCCCTGCCCAGCCCTGGGACGAGGCCTCCTCTAGAGGTTACTCTTGGCATTGCAGGACAAGGGCCGCTGGAGTACGCTTTCCATGGCTGAAGTAGTTGACCTTGGGCTTCTGCCATTTGGGTGCCGTGTCGCTTTGGGCTGCCACGCCCTTTTCAGAGATGTGCCAGCTCAGAGGTTTGCCCTGGGGCCTCCGGGTTTACCTCAAACCTGAGAAGGGAAGGATCGCTGCAGTGCCTGCTGCCCCTTCCCCTTCCCTACAGCTCATGCTCCCTGATGGCATCACTGTGGAGGTGATCGTGGTCAACCAGGTCAATGCCGGGCACCTGTTCGTGCAGCAGCACACGCACCCTACCTTCCATGCACTGCGTAGCCTGGACCAGCAGATGTACCTGTGTTACTCGCAGCCCGGAATCCCCACCTTGCCCACCCCGGTGGAAAGTAAGTGCTGCCTGGGGCTCAGTTGGGGAGCCGTGGGCTCTGGCCAGGCCAGGGGGAGGAGTTTTGGGAGTGGCCTATCCTTCCTTTGGTCTTGACCCAGGAGGAGGATGTTCTGGGATCCTTCACATGAACAGCATCCCTGAGTTCTTGCCATCAGCGTGGAGTTAGTCTGGGCTGAGTTTCCCAGCTTTCCTAATGGAAATGGTCTTTCCACTGGCTGACAGAGTCCCATGGCGTTGGAGTGGGTTTTTGACACATGAGTTCAGATCCCAGCTCTGCCATTTATCTGTTGAATGGGGCGATGCCCACTTGTTTGAGGAATCAGGGTTGGATGTATGTGTGTTATATGTAAAGTACCTGATCCAGATGATGGTTTTCAGAGACGCTCCCTGAGAGCAGTAGACCCTGCTGTGGGGTGTCTCACCTCCATGTGACAGATGAGAAAACAGGCTCTCAAGTCAGATGGCTGGCCCAGGTGATACCTGAGCAGGAACTGGGCTCTAAACTCAGTTGTGCTTCTGAGTCTGTGCTTTATCACTTTTTCTTATTGCTCTTGTTGGCAAGAATCCAATGTCAGAACATCTCTTCACCCACCCCTAGCAGGGACTCCTACCCTGGAGCACCCTGATGGGCTTTTAAGGATTTAGGGAAACCTTTGTAGCAGAAATAAGGATTTAATTGTCATCAGAGTCTCTTAACGTTGCTTCAGTCCATCAGTGAGGACCAAACTGGGGTCTGAGAGGACTGTACCAGGGGCTCCCTTTAAGGGTCAGGGTGAGGACATGATGAGGTCAGCTCTGTGCGCAGGCCCTCACCCCGTAGTCCCATGTGTCCGGTCCCTGCTGCCGTGGGGCGGGGTAGGTGACTGCTGACGCACTTGCTCCCTGGCCATGGCTGCCTGGGAGGCCTGTGTTCTTGGCACCTTCCTGAAGCAAAGGCTAGAAGAGGCGGCCTTAAGCCTAGGGGTCCTCTTCTGATCATTTAAGAGTCACCATGGGCCGGAACAGGCTAACAAGGTCTGCTGCACTTGGGAGGTTCTAGATTCTTTATGGGACTTTCCCTTAAGAATGTAAGTCCCCATTCCCTGAATTTTGGATTTTACTTGGTTCTTGGTTTTTTTTACTTTGTTCCTTCTGGTCAGTCCTTGTTCATCTCAGGCCTTAGGTTTCAGAGAGTAAGTGGATCTGGAAGAATGCTTTTTGGTCTAGAGAGCTTTTGGGTGGCATACATGGGAGGCCAGATTTCCCACGTTCAGGTCCGTCCCTTGGCGCCGGTCTCGGCCTCCAGGGCAGCTTTGGAGACTCCTGGCTATTTCCCAGCCCTGTGGAGGCACAGGCCTCTGAGAAGTAATGTGGGGAGGTGGGTAGCATCGACCGGGGTGACCCTTGGTGCCCTGCCCTAGGCCAGGAGTATCCACACGCTCTCTTCCTGACCTGCAGTAACGGTCATCTGCGCTGCCCCTGGCGTGGACGGTGCTTGGTGGCGAGCCCAAGTGGTGGCCTCCTATGAGGAAAGCAATGAAGTGGAGATCCGCTACGTGGACTACGGTGGATATAAGAGAGTGAAAGTGGACGTGCTCCGGCAGATCCGGTGGGTCCGCACTCCTCAGACATGTACACACCCCATGTGTCAGGGGATGTGGGATTACTGCAGAGCTGGCTCAGTTCTACCAAGCCTGGGACATAGGTTGACTCTTCTGCTGCCTACTCTGATAGAAACAGACTGCACTGCTTGCCTCAGCTAGAAAGGCCCGTCTTGGGGCAGAGGTCCCTCAAGTATCCTTAGGGCAGAAGTGAAGCAGGCTTCTCTCTGGGAGCTTGATGCCAGGAGTCCCCCTGAGGTCAGGCTGCTGCAGGGGGGGAGGCCTGCATTCAGACATGCTGGGAGCTGCGGCCTGCTGCCTGTCATATATGCCTCTGCTTGGTTTCGTTTTGGGTTTGCTGAGGGCTCACAGCGCTAAAGCACAAAGTAAATATTGGCCTGAAATGGAATCAGCCTTCAGGTTCATAAACAGTGTTCCTTCCTTGCCTTTCTAGATCTGACTTTGTGACTCTGCCATTCCAGGGAGCAGAGGTTCTTCTGGACAGCGTGATGCCCTTGTCAGGTAACAGATGAGGCCCCTGGCAAGGTGGGAACCATGGTTGAGAGTATGTCTTTCTCCTTGAGAGCCTTCGTTTGTGCCTGGGGGACTTAGGCTAACACAGCTTGCTGCCTCGGTCAGAGTTTGACTGGATAGGTCTGGGCCGAGGCCCGAGGACGTGCCTCTCTAACAAATACTCAGCTGATGCCACCAGTGCTGCTGGCCCATGGACCACCCTTCCAGGGCCGCCATTCTGGACTTTCCCCAGGCCACCAACTCGGAGAGGTTTCTAACACAGGACGTAGCTGAGACCCAGGGTCCTAGCATCCGTGGCCGAGGGTAGGTGCAGAGGCACGCAGCACTGCTCATCTGGGCCTCTGCCCCTGGGGCACCGTGGGGACCGTGCTGACACTCACTGGTGTGGTATCCTACACTGACCCCGTCCCCAGACGGAAGGGACTAGCGGAGTGATCTGGGCGAGTTAGCCTCGCCGGTTTTCTAAACCCCCTGGAAAATGGGATGGTGTCTGTCCTTCGGGCTGGCCAAAGGAATTACATAAATCCAGGAACTGGTATGTGGACGGTGGTCAAGTTGCAGCTGCCCATGTTGAGGAATTTGGTATTTGTAGGTGATAGTCCACTCATCTTGTTCTGGTCTGCATCCGGGAAGTGCTCTGGAGACCCTGCAGGCTTGCTGCAGTCTGGGCCGCCCGAGTGCTGGGTGACAGCCTCCTACTGTTTTCCCGTATTGCTCTTCTGTGGTTCCGTCCATTTCTGTCCGTCTCCGCAGTCTGTCCAAGCCCAGCTGCAGTGCCCCCCCGTCGCCCCCCCTCCCAGACCTTTGTGGCCCTGCCTCCCCATCCTGCTGTTTCTTGCCTCGGCTGTGTGCTTGCGCCTAACCGTGTGAGGCGGTGGGGGGTGCCGCCCCGTGCCCTGCCCCGCCGCGCTCTGTGGCTTCACCTTCGTCGGGTGTCACCGGAGGAAGGTTCAGCCTGGTCAGCACCCAGATGAGGTGGTGGCGGCAGCAGCGTTCCCCTTGAAGACAGAGTTTCTGTCCCTTTGCTCCTGTCCCCCGGCAGTAGCCTGTAGCAGAGCCCCTTTGAGTGTACCCGCTTAGAGCCCCACGGAGGCCTGGCCTCTGTCCCTGCCACAGGTGGCTCTTCCAGATGGAAGTTCTCCGGTCCCTGGAGGCATCCGCTCGGAAAACCCCTGGAAGCTGTGTGAGCAACAAGAATGCTTTGCCTCCATGAAAGCCTAAATGCTGCCTTTTCCTTTTAAAGATGATGACCACTTTTCACCTGAAGCGGATGCAGCCATGAGCGAGATGACCGGAAACACAGCGCTGCTGGCTCAGGTGTGTGCCTGGGAGGCGGGCAGGCTGGCCAGGGTCTGTCTGAGGAGCCTCCTGCCTGGCTTTTGTGCAGTGCCTCCCGGCCTCTTATCAAGGATCTTGGATTCTTGGCAACTGACCTTTGAATTCCTTTCTCCTTTGTGGCTTGGGCCCTGGGTTGGTCAGCAGTCTTTAACGAGGGGTGCATGGGCGGGGGGGGAGCTTTTAAACATGCTTGCTTTCTTCTGTTGGTTTTCTAGGTGACAAGTTACAGTCCAACTGGCCTTCCTCTAATTCAGCTATGGAGTGTGGTTGGAAATGAAGTAAGTTCTGTTCTTTTCCTTTAAGTTATTGGCCAGCAGTCGCAGATTGATTTGGAGCTGATTCTGCCATTGTATCCTCTTGAGCTAATCAGAGGATGTAACTGTAGACCAGTGCACCCCCCCCCCCCAACCTCGGGACATTAAGCAATGTCTGGAGACATTTTTTTGGTTGCCCCAGTCGGGGGTGGCGATGCTAGTGGCATCTGGCAGGTAGAGGCTGGGGAGTGCTGTTGAATCTCCCACAGTGCACAGGACAGGCCCCACAACAAAATGTCAGTGGTCCTTCCTGGACCTAGGCCTTTCTGGACCTTGTGTCCACTGGGTTTTCCACCCCATTTCACGGTGTTAATGCTTAAATTTCTTTAGTGTACTGAAAAGCCCGCCTTCATGCCGACAGAACATTCAGTAAATGCCCTCATTGGCCTAGAAGGGTCCTGTCCCCCACCCGCCACTTCTCTGGTGCCCGGCCTGTGCAGTGGTCATCTGGGACCGAGAGAGGGAGAACCGTCGTCGGCCTGACAGCCGGCCCCGAGGTGCAGTGGGTAAAGCTCTTAAGGGACTTTGTTTTCCAGGCGGTGTTGATAAACCGGTCGCTGGTGGAGCGAGGCCTTGCTCAGTGGGTAGACAGCTACTACGCGAGCCTCTGACCCCCGTCTCCCACAGACGCTTCTGGAGTCTTTATGCACTGTTGAAACCGGGCTTGGCGCTGAGGCAAAGACACTACATCAGAATAACAAACGTTATCTTCCCCAGAAAGTCGTCTTTTTCCCCCCCCCCACATTGTAGTCATGTTGAGAAGTCTCCTCTTTCAGACAAGGAAGGAACCATGGGTTCTTTCAAAGCCATAGGATGGTGTTTAACAAGCCAGTCAGTTTAGGCTGGTTCCAAGCCTTTAAAAAAAAAAAAAAAAAAAAAAAAGTGAAAGTAAAACTGTCTCAACCAGGTTGTCCTTGACCACCTCCGTTCCCATCTTCCTTCCCACCTGCTCCCCTCACTCAGAGCCAAACCAACCGCAGCAGACGGACCAAGGGATGTGTTGCCTGAGAGGGTTTCTTTTCCTTCAAAATCTTTCTTCAGGGAGCAAGACATGAAATCACTAATTGGTATTGATTACTTGTACAGCTTACGTCAACAAATTTATGATGTTTGGCCAGTTTTTATAAACTTCATCTAGGTCTCTAGGAAGGCAGACTTTTTAATGCATATGTAAATACGAAGCAGTCAGATCTCTGGCCTTGGTCCGTGGGGGGGCGGGGGCGGGGAAGGGTTACCTTGCCAAGCCTGGTTGTAATTTGTAACCATTTTCTATTTGTGCAAACTCTGTAAATATATGTTTAAAAAAATGTAATATTTTGTATAAGATACACTGGAGAACAAAGGGAACTCAAGATTTTTCCACACCCCACATGATCAGTGAGCTACCCCTGCGGGCTCCTGTGGCTTCCAGCACACTGGACAGGGTGACTGTAGGGTATAGATTGTGAGCTGGGATTTTTTTTTTTTTCCTGTACAAATTTGTTAAAAAAAAAAAAAAATCAACTCATTTGAATTACCTTCCCGTGGTGTGTTTGATTCTTTTTTTTAGACTGACTTTTAGCACTGGGCTGACATAAGAAAGTAACTTAATATAAATCTTGAACTGTGTACATTGTAGCTTTGAGTCCATTTCTTCCAGGGTGAGAGGGTTGGGGTGGGGAGTGAGGTGGTGCTGAGTGTGGAGGGGCCCCGTCTAGAGGAGCCCCTTTAGCCAGAAATTTCCATTTTTTCCCTCTCCTTGCCCCACAAGGTGGCAGCCAAGCTTCCCTCTGGCTTCCCCTAGTGAGTGTCTCAGATAGCCAGGCCTGAGTTTAAAGCACTGATTTCCACAATTCCTTGGGCGTTCTCAATAGATCTTTGAAGTTATGTCATCTATTGCGGTGGTAGGAGCAATATATGCCTACATGGGGAGAGCAGAGTGAAGTTTTGATTTTTTAAAGATTTATTATTTTTTAAGATTTTTATTTATTTATTTGACAGACAGAGCAGGAACACAGCAGGGGGAGTGGGAGAGGGAGAAGCAGGCCTCCCGCAGAGCCGGGAGCCCAATGTGGGACTTGATCCCAGGACCCTGGGATCATGACCTGAGCCCAAGGCAGACGCTTAACACCTGAGCCACCCCGGCGCCCCTAAAGATTTTACAAAGAGTACGTGCTCACGGGAGGGATGGGCAGGGGAAGGGGGGGGGGAGAGAGAAAGGATCTTAAGTAGATGCCCCACTGAGCACGGACCCCAATATGGGGCTCGAGATTATGACCTGAGTGGAAATCAAGGGTCTGATGCTTGACTGATTGAGCCACCCAGGTGCCCCAGAATAACGTTTTGATTTAACAGACCCTCCAGGGCAAAGGCAGACTCGGGCCCTTTGGCCTGTGTCTCGGAGCTTACCGCCCCCCCCCCTGCCCTGCACCTGGGTTTCTGGAGAGTGGAGGCTGCCCAAGGTTCCTTCACACTGAAGGAATCCTCCCACAGAGCTGCAGCCACTCTCCCGGGCCGTGGGTAACGAGTGGTTAACAGCCCGTTTCCCTCATCTGTAGGATCAGATCATGGGACCAACCTCAAGGCAATGAAGGAAAATCATGGGAGTGTTCCCTGCTCGTACAGAGCTTGGCCCAAGGCAAGCTCTTATGGGGTCGTAGCTGAAGTCATCCTAAGTTCCAGCAGTAATTGGCTGTGACATTGGCCAGCTTGGGTTACACCCAGTCTCAGCTTTTTCTGTACAACTCTGTATCAGCTGGAGCAGACAAGGGTGTGTGGGAGCCTTCAAGCCAGTTTGGGGGAAGTCGCAAAGCCTGGTGCGCAGATTTGGCCTTCGGGAGCTATTGAAAGGTTTTGGTGGAGGGGGCCACAGAATTCTGGTGCCTGGTGGGGGACAGGGTGGTCCAGACCAGATGAGGGCTTCCAGTGAGACAGCTCCTGGGGGCACGGGTCAGGGTCCCTTGGACGAGGCCCCTAGGACTGGGGAAGATGGGCAGTGGGGATGAGGAGGCGGGCTGCTCAGGGCTTATGGTCTTAGCCTTCAGGGATGGGTCCCTTTAAGGAGGTTTTGAAATATGGGAGTAAAGTGAGTTGAGAGGTTGGTGAAGGTCATGTACTCTTTGAATTAACCCTTCTTAGATTACAGAGTTCGGAAAAAGTTGATTTTGACCATTTTGCTGGTAATCTTGTTCTTATGGAGGGGTAGGTTTAGGGAGGTCCTCACTCCCCCATTCTGGACGTCAGTACTCTGGGCCAGTGTATTTTAGACATCTGCTCTGAGTTAACTGGGCCATCCAGGGGGCTGGTTTAAGTACGACTTTGAAAACTCATGGTGCTGGAGGGAGACTTGGTCACCTGCCCTGGGATATGGGGGAGACAGGTGGAATGCTGGGTGCAGGAGGCTAGAGCTTCCAACCTGTTCTTACTACAGGTGTTTATTTCAACTGCTTCCCCTCTGGTCCTCGGGGCCCTGCCGAGTGGGGCTGCTCCCAGTGGGGTGTCAGCATGGGGGCTGGGGCCCGGGTTACTGATAGGCCTGGTACAGCCTCTTGCATGCCCCTTAACCATCACGGGCTTAAGATAAATCAAGATGAGTAGCTGGAGTGATGGAGAGCTTATTGTGTCAAGACAGTGTGCCGTTTTGGAGGAGATACTTGGTCCTCATGAGACCCCAGTCAGAAGCTGACCCTGGAAATAGATGGTGACTTAGAAAGTGGTTTGCAGTTGGACACTCAAAGCCAGGCTCTTGTCCCAAGGCAGGTCGCAACCACAGCTACTCTGAAGTAACATGAGAACTGATCATGCTTTGTTCCGCATCCCCATGTAAAGACTACGGTCGTTAAATCATCAGCCTGCGAAACAGTCTTAACAACTGAGAATGGGAAAAACACCATGGCAGGAGGTGATCAATCATTTTGCTTATATGAGAAATTAAAATTTGAGAGAAATGTAAATAAAGCCAGGAAGAACACGTAGCATCTAGGCCAGAGTGAATGGTTTTGATCTTTGATGATCTAAAAGGGAAAAAAAATCTCCACTGGGAAAGGTCATCAGGGATATGGACAGAAAAGGGAACATCTGGATTGTTTCTACACCAGCACTGTCCAGTAGAAACATGTGAGCCACGTGTGTAATTTAAAATTTTCTAGGAGCCTCAATAGAAAGGAAAAAACCAGGTGAGACTGATTTTAGTAGTTTGTTTAACCTAACATTTCAACATGTAATGCACATTGGAAATATCAATGAGATTTTATAGTATTTTTCATACTAAGTCTTGGGGAATCCTATGTGTATATTTTACACTTCCAGCCTGTCTTTGCTGACTAATCACGGCTCAGGTGCTCAGGCGGCGACCTTGTTGGGTACCAGCCTCCCACCGATCAACATTATACCAGTACTGACGGCCTTATGTTGGTGTGTGTCCTTATCTTATTCAAAAAGCTCTAGGTTCCTTTGCACATTTATTTTTCCAGATGACCTTTAGCATGATTTTTTTTTGAGAGGCAATCATGGTGAATGTTTTACCAACATTTGGAAAAAATAATGCATGTTGTTGGTTTGTTATAAAGTTTTATGTAATATATTAAATTGAGCTTATAAATTATTCATATCTAGTTTTTCTTTCTTGCCCTCTCCCTCCATTTTTTTTTTTTTTTTTTTTTTTTTTTGGTCTGTACTTTCTGTCCATTCCCAAGAAAAGTGCATTAAAAGATTCTGGTATTGTCACATTTTCCTGTTCTTCATAAGTGGAAACTTCTGAAAGAAGCTGTTGTGTTGCTAGCTTTGAAAAAGCTCATGGGTGATATTTTCTCATCAATGTGAAGTATCTTTGGTATTCTGTTTGGTGCTTTTTGTTTTAAATTTTGTATTTTTTTCTGTCATTTAATGAGGTGGGTGGATGGCTTATAAACAGCACACTGCCAGAATTTTTTTTTTCTTTTAGCGAAATCTAAGAGGTCAGTAGGTGAATCTGACTTGTTCATTGTAGTCACCGTTGCAATATTATTTGCCATTTAGTTCATTTTTCTGTTTTGTTTTGGGTGATTTTAGGCCTTTTTTGTTTGTTTGTTTTTGCTTTTTTCATTTGCTTGATCAGAACTTTTCCCTGTAGTAAATTTAGCATTTATTTTTATTTTTTAAAAGATTTTATTTATTTGAGAGAGAGAACAAAAGCAGGGAGTCGGGGGTGAGGAGGAGCAGAGGGAGAGGGAGAAACAGACTCCTGTGGAGCGGGGAGCCCGACGCGGGGCTCGATCCCAGGACCCTGGGATCATGACCTGAGCCAAAGGCAGCCGCTTAACCGACTGAGCCACCCAGGTGCCCCTCAATTTAGCATTTAACATCTTGTTTCTGTGTTATCAGTGGATATCAGTTATTTGCCAGTAACTTTGAATTTATGTTTCTCTTAATACCACATAGTTACATTTCCTCCTTTCTCCCCAAAAGGGAAACTCAGCAGAAAGATTTCTGCCTTTCTTCCTACAGATGTGCATGCACACACTTTCTCTGTCTCCTGGGTTTTGTTACAAGAATCATCTAGAATCCAGTTCAGAATGCCAAACTTTTTTCACATATGCCTCTATCTCAAGAGTTTTAGAATGGTGACATTAAACTTCAGTCACGTTACCGGGAAACATTTTCACCAACTTTGTTTCACTAGCTTTATTCCTACTATTTCTTACACACCTGCTCCTGAGGTCTTTATTTTGATTCACTTTTGTCTGGAGTATGACTTTGACTTTTTTTGGTTTTCAGAACACCTTGTGCATCTGAACATTTCTGTCTTTTTGTCCTAACAATGCCAGCAGGTTACTAGGCTGAGCATCTCTGCTGGAATGAAGGTCACCTTGCCGAAAATGCCGTCCTCTGTCCCCTACAGTAGGATTGTGCATCCTTGTGCTCTTGCATTCGGGCATGGGCCATGAACGGTGGGTAGAAGCAGTGTGTGGCCCAAGGTAGACTCACCTCTCTCCCTCCCAGCCATGGCTGTGCTGCAGGTGGGGCCTGGTCTGTGCACCTGCGTCCCGGCGTGAAGGCCACAAAGAGCAGGGTTGCGGCCAGTCCCCCATGGATGTAGGTGTGCGAAGCAAGTCTGTCCTAGGTCACTGAGGTTGAGCTGGTGTGTTATCTGCAGCCTGTTCTAGCCTGTGCTGATCAGTGGTCCCTCGTTCTGGGCCCCTGACCTTTCCTCTGAGGACTCAGAGAGCTCTGGCCATGGGACTTGGGACAAGTGTCTCACCCTCTCTCTTCCCCCATCCCCCACCCCCCATCCGTAAAACCCGGGGGTGACTTAGATGAACACAGAGGTACTTCCCAACTTTGCCTTTAGACCGATTTGTTCTATAAATAAGAGCCTTCCTGGAGATTCCTGTTAATGAGGCTGACTGTATTTTTACAAAGCAAATCATCTAGGTGAGATCTTGGCTGTTTGTTGCTAGAAATAGGCCCAGCTGACATCTGGTCGGGCAGACCATTTGAGAAGCCCTGGAAGGCCTCGGAAGGCAGACACCTCCTACCTCGACCTGGGATGGATTTCTTA